TTCCTGCTGTCGACGCCTTAGGAGAATTGCTTCTGTGGGTTGGGGGGAGGGCATATTTGACGCTCTTTAGGTAGAACATACATTCTGGTAATGGTTTATCGAAAAACCACGGGCTGAGCCATTACTTACAGAAGTAGGGCATTTAGGATGCATGCGTCACGTTGAGAATGTGAGACAGAATGATTAACCCCGGCAAAGGACTCGTTAGAATTTCGCGCCAGAGATCTGGCCAACAAATGCAGCAAATACAAATGGTCCTTAGCAAGCTGTAAGGATAGATGAAACCTGGCGAACTGAAACAATCGAATCCACCGAACCTTGTGATCATAGGCTACGCGGTACTGCAAAGTTCTTCCTAATGGCCATCCATAAGCGACTGCTGAGAATCGTGGTGGGGCCCTCTGTTTCGTCACCTGGGTGGCAGACTCGGTAACCAGCAAGGACGCATCTCTGACACTCAGTGATGCTCTTGTGAACTCTGAGATCCTCTCCTCGTATGGTCCTTGGGATATTTAGAAAAACCGCGATGGGCTCCTCCTGAAATGTTTCAAACATTCAGCAGCAAGCCACCCGTTTTTGCATATACTCCTCCCCCCCCCACGGGCGACAGTTTTTCTCCTTAAAATCCCTCAAATGGCATTCACCTCTAGAATTTCCGAACGCTGCCTAAATAGTTTTCCACTATCGGCTCTTTTTACCCAGTTCCATGTACTAGCAACGCCACTCTTTTGAAACGTTCTACTGAACCAATGCATTTCATAGATGCTCTGTACCAATAAGGAATTCAAAGGCATTTACCTACATTTACCTTGACAAAACCTGACCCGACACAACGTTTTTAAGGGGACTGTCTAGGCTCCATAATTGTTTAGACCGCTATTCCAGCCCACAGAGAAGTGCAATCCTTTCCGAACTATTTTGTTTGTGGTAAGATGGATGCTCCTGTTCCAAATTTTTTCAGAACTGCCAAAATATAGACCTCACTCTGATTGCGTATGACACTTATCGCGATCACCTTTTACTACTAAGAATTCATTGTCACCAGTCAGGAAAATTTCTTTTTTTTCGTGCTGACAAGGTAAAGCCAGCTTATAAGACGGAAAAGGCAATCTATACGGCAAAAAAAACTGACTGCAAAAGGTCATTATATAAAGTCGACTCACGTCATCGCTTGAAATATGTTTTCAATACCGTAACGCACTGTAAATTCGTCGCTGATTTCCTGCCCAAGGGGATCAAAGTAAACCCGCCAGGGTTCGTCCTTTGCAATGGAAAAAAAAAGAAACAAAAAAACTGCATTAAGCCGTCGCGTTAAGAAACTCAAATTAATCAAACTCCTCTGTGCACACTTAATTAACTCCAACTTTTGTCCATTCTCAGTTCCCTTTTATTTCCTCCTTCAACTGGTAAAATAATTTTTTTCAACGGAGAAGTAGAACTGAGAGCTGCTGGTCCGCCAATCGCGTGCGCGCCTTTAGGCTGCGATATGACCTTGAGAAGCAAGCAAGCTCAGGCGTCTGCGCCGTTACGCGACAGGCAAATTGCCCAGGGCACAGGCGTGCGTGCGTGCATACGTACTTAAACACGCACATGTGCGCGCAGCATTCGCACTTACCGTGACGGATTTCCTCTTAGGTGCCTTGGGCGGCAAATACACCGGAGAATTCTTCTCGCAGAGGTAGTTGAATATGCTCTAAAATTGGGGTAGGGCATAAAAAAGAGGCATTCAAAAGCTGGGCAGAACTGGTCGTCAAACAGGTACTTTAGCCTGGAGTCAAATTCGGCACTTCCGGTGAGACGCGGTCGGACGGCGAGGAGGTAAGGCATTATCAGCGGAAGTTACTCTATTATTATTTGGATTGCCTAGTAGGATAACACGGGGGGATGCTGGAGACTGGGGGTGGGAGGGGGAGATGTTACACATGTCGTATTGGTAGTAGGGGAGAGAAGATGTGAAACAAATAGCCACGGCGGGCTATTTCCTGCTGGTGGATAGAAGGCATCAGCGGAAGGATTGTAATCCTAAAGCGGTTCACAAGGCTATTTTCGAGTCGACATATAGCCAACAAAGCCGACAACAAGTAGCTGAATTTGTAAATGATTTATGTGCCCTGTCCCAAAATAGGCAACTTTACTAATAAATAAACAAAGGCCTAGACAGTTACGGGTAAATACTGCAGCACCTAAAATCTACAGTCCAGGGTAAATGACATGAAAACATGAGAATTCTAGGCAGGTAGTATCGCCAACAAGGATAAGCGAGAGGCTGGAATGGTCAACTCAGGCTTATTAGCCGTCATCAGCCAGCCACGAGGAAGCCCAGGTAGTGTACCACCCGAGGCTCGAACCCGCGACTTTTTAGTCCAACGCTCTGTCCATTGGGCCACCAATAAGTTTCAGAATTAGGTTAAGGATGATGACTATGGGTATGGAAAGGCGTTAGGGATCAAGGCGTACAGTCAGGAATAAGGTTTTTTGGCTAGGGATAGGAATGATTCTGTGGGCTTATGGCTAGGGCTTTGAGTTAGGCATTAGGTCGGCGCTTATTCGTGCATTGGGGCTCAGTCTCGAGTTTCGCCAGCAGCCACTCAGCGTTTAGTATATCATTGACAGAAAAACACTAAAAGGGATGAGACTGAAATGGCCATTTCCGGCTTATTAACCATCATCAGCCAGCCATACCCAACCCCAAGGGGTGCCCCACCCGAGGCTCGAACCCAGAACCTGGGGGTAGGAAGTCAAAGCTCAAACCTACCGCGTCAGAGGCTCGTGATCTTACCGGCTTATACGGTTCTTGAACCCATATTCCCGATCGTAGCCGATAGGACAAGGAGTCTGTGCTCAATCGATCCAATGTGGGATTTCTTTTGGCCAAAGAACGCAGCTCAGAATCACAGACTATTTAAACTTTTGGGGCGGGTATGGTTAGATATCCATATGCCAGAAAGAAAAGCAATCCAGCC